CCCTTTTCTTCTCCTTAAGTAATTTACCCCATCTGCATTCCAGCTTTATTGCTATTCAGATTCTTTCTCCAACCCCTCCACTTCATGCCACCCATACAGAAGTTCACCTTGGATCCATTGCTTCTACTAACAACGACACTCCCATTATAGAGAATGACAAGACATGCGAGTTTGGAAAGGAACCTGGGAGACCACACTGGTTTTGCATGGCCAGGTTTAGGTAGCAGGGGGGCTATAGGGATGGTTTCTATGAGAAGGTGTCAGAAGCTTCCCACATGTCTTGACAGAGCCCATGTCAGCCAGCTCAAAGCTGGACCTGCCACTGGCTAAGATCAAGCCCATCAGTGATGGTAGTTGCACCTATTGGACCACTATTTGATAATGTGAAAAAACCCTTCTGCAACAGCAATCATGCCAAAGATTGTTAGACCATGTGAGAGGAAGAGGGGAGACACCCAAGCCAGTGAAGAACAAGAGGGAGAAGGTGCTCCAGCACTTGGGCAGAGATTCCCAAGCAGACAACAGTGAGTTAGGTTGTCCTGCAGCCCAGAGAGGTCCATGGTGGAGCAAACTCCACCTGCAGTTTGTGGAGAATCCCATGCTGGGTTGAAGGAGGTTGTGACCCTGTGGGAAGCCCATGCTAGAGCAGAGTCATAGCAGAACTTGTGCCCTACAGGGGACCCACAATGGATCAGTTAGTGAAAAACCGCAGCCTGTGGAAAGGACTCATGCACACCGAAGAAGTTCATGAAGGACTGTCTCTCGTGAGCGAGTGCTGGTTCCTGACGCAGCCTGGAGAGGCTGCTGGCTTCCCTTGCTGCAAGAACAGACTGGATCTAGAAATCTGTAGGTGTCTTCAACAAGTATAAGGTGTACATTTTCTCATACAGTTAAGAAATCACACCATGTTTGTACATAATCATAGTGGTGTAGCCAGAGCACTGAAAGCCCCATTTTCTCCATACCTTCTGAAAGCAAGCTGAGGTTTTTCAATACAATAATGAAAATAATGTAGTTAAACCTGTATTTCTACACGCAAAGACTGTTTTCAGGAAAGCTGAAGGCATGGAAGTCTCATCTGAATTTTTTTTTAAGAAAAACCCCACCAAACTCTTAAGTAGAACACATCTTCCCATATATATTACAGCCACTAGCACATCTTAAAAAATCTGAAAATCCTTCCCCAGAGGTATCTTCATAAGTCTGACTTCAAGGGACTATGGCTCTGTATTACATGAAACTACACTATTTGGATCAGGATAAAAACTAGAAGCAATGTATTAGCTATTAAAATTGTTGAGATCAAGCAATTCATTTCATATCAGTAATACCCTACTGTCATATCTCATTCATACATCAATACAGCCCCATTACATGAAAATTGCTATTTCTGGAATAGGGAAATTTAAATTTTCAAACACATACTTTCCCCTGCCTCCAGAACAAAGAAATGACAGCACACATCTTTAAAAGCAGAAATCTGCAGTTCTGATACCTGTTAGACCTTCAAGGCTTTGTAGCCTTGCTACCTACTAACAGGTATTAGAACTAGTATGTAGTCTCTCTACATAAAGATCCAAAGCAACATTTGTAGCTTTACATTTTACAGTGTGTATTACTACATTTGTAGTAACACAGAAGTTTTATTTGGGAAAGACTACCTGTAGCTTTTGCAGAACTGGTGAAACAGAGAAGGCAAGTGCAAACAATCACCTACTCATGAGGAAGTGATAGCTTTGGGAAACACCTTTAAGGGTTCAAAGACAACGAAAGAAAGAAGAATAAAATACAATTTTTAAGTCTTGTCCTCAATAAGGCACTTGGATGAAATAAAAGAAGATAAACTAAACATATACTGAGGTCAATGGAGAATATAATGGGAAAAAAAAAGCTCACTCTTTCTCAGTTTAAGAATACACATACCCCAAGCTGCTCTTTATCACTTGTAATTGACTAGCAAGAATAATTAAGGGTAATGCCTTATGAAAGGCCAGGTACTGCACAAGTCAAATTTAAAGAGCAGGGCAAATACCAAAGCACAGAAGAGATACACAGGACACACAAGCCATAACCTATCTTAGACAAGAAAATTTAAATAAAAAAAAAAATCTTGCAGTTCCTTCAGATCTCCACAGGATCACCCAAGGCCTTAATTTTACATAACAGCCTGAAGATTCAGAAAAGGCCACCGTATGAATAACCATCCCTACGAAGGAAAGTTAGGTATCCAATGACCTTGCAAGTAGGAACCTCGCTGCATCTTTAAGCAACCAGGTATCCCGAGGGATTTGGCCCGAGGTCCAGTTCACTCAATCCTCAGCACCTCAATTTGCACTACTGTAGGAGGAGAACAACAGCAGCAGGGCTTCCCAGTTTACCTGCTTAATACATGCAAAGCTCTTTAGCATTCTCCTCCAATCCCCTCATAGATGTGCAAATCAGTGTATTCTTACAGTTCTGGGATAATGACTGCAATTTGATGACTTGCAGAAGGAGGCCTCTCAGCAGGGATGTTTTCATATGAAGGCCCCCTTAGGAGGTGCTGGTGGGGTAAGAATTCTGACAGTGTAGCTCAAGGGCCAGATGCTGAAGGAATCTTTTTCTTTGCTTCCTGCCCTATCACTACCACACTGTGACACCTTGCCAGAGAATTTGAAAGAGGTACTGCAACAATATGAAAGTGAATAAAGGATCTCAAAATGCATCATCTAAGCCCGAGTCCGCAATCCAAGAAGGTAAATGCAATTTTTATTTTTTTTTTATGATATGGTATGTTAAAATCTTTGAGCCAAATGTTCATTTGGCTCTTAAAATGTTCTCCTAATGCAACGCAGTTTCTGATTGACCAGTTACTGAAAACAGCTTAAAGTGGTTACTCCAAGACCCTTGCTTCTTTGTGAGTGGCTCATGGAATTCTGAACACTATACTTGAACAGTGTAGGATGCCAAGGATTCTGCTGGCACAAAGCCTATGTTTAACCCAAATGATGTTCATTCACACGTGTGTTTGCAGTAGTGACTACTGCATCAGAAACAGGTGATCCGTAAGATAATTCAAAAGGACCAGCTTCTTCCACATGTATTTTGGAGGTAAACTCCTGAAGTTCAGGCCTTTGACTCACTTCTGCAAAAACCACTTTATTATAACTCTCACACTTGAAAAAAAAATAGCAGCAACTATCATGCATTACTTTTTCCCTCCTAAGTATTATACACCAAAGGCATAATAATTTAGTTAAATACTGATAAAACTTTTCTGGAGCAGATTTTCTGCTTAACCACAAGAGCTTCAAATTAAGCTTAAATGGCCTCCATCTGGCCAGATCTTTTCTTCAAATTGATGAAAAAGAAGTTTAAATTTTTGTTGTCTCAAATGTCAAGATCTACTAGTGGCAGGAAATGCATCTCTTGAAATTAAAGCTATATTCAGTGTCCTTTGAAGTGGCTTTGTTAATGCAAATTGTCACTTAAGTGGAGAAGTAAGCACTAAGAAGCAGAATCTTTTGAAGGGCAGAAACCCTACTAGGGGTTGAAATAATTCCACTTAACTAATGCAAAAGTACAGGCAGGAAACAGTCTGAACAACATCCCTGGCCACTCCTCCTCCACTACATTTGACATTAGGTGTCAAAGTTCTAGTAGTACCTGTGAGCCAACCCATCACGGAGCAACTGCATTAGAACCGTATTTAGAGCTGATTATAGGAGGACTGATGTGCATATAAAAGGTTCTTCTTTCACAATATGCACCCTGTTAGTTTAGGATTAATTCTAAGGTAATATGAAGAAATACAACTATTTTTTAAGTATTTCCTTTTATATACTTTGTTCATGCTGATAGAATGTTCACTTTCACTTCTGGTAGATGGTGGGGCTGAATACAGCTTATTCCCTCTGTCACCAGGTTGGGAGCATAAAAAATCAGAAAAAACCTCCCCAACTCATGTTGATTTTGTCTCTGGCCTCATCACTCTGTAGGATATTCCTGCCACTGAAGGATGAAAGGAGGTAAAATAATTGCAGTAGCAAGGAAACACACTAATGCCCAGTGCAATTCTCTGAAAGAAGCAGAAAATAGCAATAATAGTAATTAGAATAGCACTCAAGTTTTTATCTTTTCCTTACTAGTCTCTAGAGAGAATAACAAAGGTTGACTCCACACAACATTTCTGAGAACCCAGAGACCAAAAGTTTCACAAGACCAAAAGTTCCACACACCCATTCAGGTTTATGTTTTTTTAGACTCTTTTTATTTTGTTTTGAAAGAAAAACGTTCCTTCCCAAATATTCAGCATTTTTACAGATGTTTACTGAAACATGCAAAAACATAACTCATTTGAATTCACTTACACCAATTTCCTTTTTTCCCAAAATAGCTGGTTTGATAAGCAGATCAAAACCAGTTACAAATGTTTCACTGTGGGATTACAAACACATTTTTAAGCAGAGAAAATATTAAGAAAAAATATGTAGTGAAAGACCAGACCAAGAAAAACCAAGCTGTTATGCCTTCTAAGTTGTCTCTGTTCTTATAGCAAAAGACTACTATAATTCTTTTAATAGATGTGAAAGTCTTAACAGAGGTGAGTTTCCCGATGGAAGCAGATTTCAGGCATAATTTAAGTATCATAGTTCAGTGGGAAATTACTTTTTTGACAATATATAACAAGATCACCACAGTTCTTTTGATTCTGAAAAGAAAAAAACCCCACGCGAATCTCTCTGCAAGAGAAAAGATCTTTATCAACATAAAACTAAAGGTGATACTTAAAATATTTTAAACCCCAAAACATATCTGCATTATACACAAACATGTGACATATAACCAGAATTTGCTTATGTTCAGCTCTGAACAGGCAAAAGTAAAAAACTGAAACTAGTAATTAGTAAGCAATAATCAGTTTTATGCCAAAAACAGAAAAGCAGCTTTGACAAGATTTTATACTTACATTCTATACTAACAATGAATTTCAAAATAAAACCCTAAGATACACTAAAGTAACAGTTTTAATTTTTAATAATTTCATTTTTAGATCAAAGTACATACTGGATACAAATACTAAAGATATGATGAGAAACAGCTTTAAACTAGGGTTCTCTTTGCTACTAATTTAATTACAAAGAAGAAAAAACCAAATCCAAGCAATGTTACCCCTCCCATTTTTACTAATCTTTTTTCCAAGGTGGCTGCTTTTTCTGGAAGTTTCACTTGGTTAGGTTTATTCTTCTCTTCATACTGAGACAGTTCTGTCTCTGTCCTACTTAATTTGAAATAAATGTGTATAAATGTTCATCTTATCTGATGTTCAACCATTCTGCAACGTGTATTAGAAAAACCAACTGTTTATTTACAAACTTAATTGCTCATAAGTAAAACACTGTTATTATTAGATGCTTCAAAAATCTAATAATGAAACAACTAAACTCAGACTATCAAATTCTTTAACTAGAACTTCTGCCATTTCATTACTAAAAAACCTGTTGATTTAAAAAGGAAGTTAAATATGTAACAGATCAGATTTTTTTGAAATTAAAGGGAGAGGGGAAAGTACCTGACAGGTGCCTTCTCAAATACATGTTGAACCTGAGTGAAACCTTGTCATAAAGAACTGCCAGGGTTACATTCTGATTTCCTACCTCAGTTCACAATACCTGGAAGGTGATCTCATTTACTGTACTTTCAAAAATTACATGCTACAGACATGCACTGCTGGCAAAGTCTTGTCATGACTAGGCTTAGAAAACAGTAACAGAAGACTTCCAGGGAATTTATACAAACATTTTATGTAAGAGTTTTAACTGTTTCACTTAGATTCACATGTTCATAATAAACACTTGGGTGTTCTACATTCAAAACTGCTCCATCATAAATTAAATAGCACAAAAATATCTTGTATTAAAGTATTCATAAATTAAATTCATAAAACAGGATTTTAAAAAGAAGGATTTACATTTTTGAAGTAATTAGAAGACCGTTTCACACAGGAAACAAAGACACCATGCTTTGTCTTGACAGCTATAAAACCTTGCATACAGACAAAAGTCAAGTGGCACCAAACCTGGAACCCTCCCAGCCCTTATAACTGACCTGCATATGTAAGAGGCAAATATATACACAATTGATGATTTCATATGCAAAAATTAATAAATAGCTAATAAGTTATTTGCCACAGTCTCTAGTTAATATATTTGGTGCTAAGTGATTTATTGGGAGAAAGCTGTTATATTACATTAAATTTACTTAAACTACAGGAAATTGCATTAGTAGCATTTATACTCAAGGTCTGAGTTCCACATGGCTTCGTTCAGCAACAGATTCCTTTCTGACACTGATGCTCCATTTACCCTACCCCAGCAGCCGTTCATTTTACCAGCCTATTACTTAAAATGACCCCATCTGACAAGAGAGTGTCACTGTGTTGGTTTGAGAATGACTGATGTGGTGCTAACATCTAGCCTTGACCTCTCCCACCCTCTTCTTTTGTCACTTTGCAGAGTTATCTGGGATGCCTCCCATTCAATCCATAAAACCTTAGTATCTTCCTTGAGAGTCAATAATTCCAAACAAAAGATTCCTTAATTAAAATGTACGAGTGTAAGTATTCAGCATGGCATCTATGCCACACTGGTTGCCCAAGAGCACAGGGATACATTCCAATTAATTCTTTCATGCAGTAGAAAGAAAAAGGTAGACTGTGCTTTCTCTTTTGGAGATTCTCCACACTGCCGTGGAATATTAGAGATTATTTCTCATTCTGTCCATGGAAAGGCGGAAGGGGGAGAGATCGATGCAATGTCCAAGCTAAGGCTAAACAGCCTTTGGCAGAACAAGGTATGAAACATTTCCCTGACAGATGTCACATTTGAGATTGCATCAGAAATGCGTACACAGTATTTAACAGCCTCACTCACACACACCCACCTCCACCACGAGGTCCTTCAGTCTGCCAACTTCTTCTCCCAACTTTTTAACACTGCAAATCACATCTTTGCAGACTTCAATATAACATTCAGTCGGTGCCCACTGCAGTACCATCTGTTAATAATTACAGTTATTTGCCATAATTACATAATTGTAGATTATAATTTAATATTCTACACTTAATGTATCACAAATGACAGTGCCAGAAAATGTTTATAACTGCATTTATGCTGGGTTTTAATTGTATGATTTATGCATAACAAGCTACTACTCCCTAGCAGCCTTTGTTGGAAACTTTTGTCATCTTAACTCTCCTATCAGTAGAAACATGAAGAAACAAATCTATCTCTTTTAGTTGTGTGGCCCAACTCTTTGAAATAAATTATTTTTAAGAAGTGTCCTTTAGAGAAAGAGCATTGCACAGCTTTATGTAACTATATAATAACCAAGATGGTTGACAAATATTCATAGTTTTTATTTTACAAGGTGGAACAATGCACTCGAAATCAATCCTCTGTTTGATTGAATACCTTGTGAGAATTTTTGAGGAAATGGTTATTCATGGTCTGCACAGGAATGATCAGCTTACTACACTCTTTATTCAACTTCTGAAGAAACTTGAGCAATTCATCTTCACTAGAAAAATAAAATTATATTTTGTTATTTGTCAAATGCTGTAACTTTTTGCAATCTGAATATTACCTATGGATTTCCAACACTGGTTAATGGATTAGACATGCAGTTTCATAATATGCAAAAAACCCAGTATCATTTTAGAAGCGAGCAGGTAAAGATATTTAACATCTTAGCCAGTTGGTTTTCTTCTTTCCTCGTGTTGGTCCCATCCCCTCCCTCCGCTGCCTTATTTTGGAAGGACAATATTTCTGATCTGCAGCTTACATTTTTGAGGTAGATGTGAGGAAAAAAGTCTGGTTTGCACTTTGGAGCAAGGACTGAAATGACTAGGTTTAGGGTCATTTAGTCTCCAACAGAATTGAAGAAAATAAGAATTCAGTAATACTGGCTTGGCCCTTGGATCTGGAAACATGTAACTGACAGCCTAAAATACCCGATGTTACCTATTTCGAAGAAAATTCTTACTTGGTACTCAAATATAGAGCAGGAGGATAACTCTCAAAATTAGTTTGACCCATGTCTCCAAAAAGTGGAGTGAAGGATAGAAAAAATTAACACATTATTTTCAGCTTTAAGTTTCTAGAGCTTCCACATGACACTGACTCAACTTTACTGGAATGTCTGAGAATTTCAGTCGTAAGTCATGGTGCTGGCCAGAAATTTGTTGCCACTCACCAGAAGAGGGAAGAAAGGCAAGGAAGATCATCCAATTGCTTTTACAGAGTGAGCTCTCAAAACCCTGAAACTCCTGAGAAGTGTCTGTATCTCCAGCAGGAAAGTTTCTGCTAACTCTAAGCTATCTGGGGGAATGACAGGCAGGGCCAAAACAAGAGACAATTATAATTCTTACTGCAGAACTTCCTGTTCTGAAGATTCATATGATCTAAATAAACTAATTCAGACTCCGTTTTCCTCCACTGTCCAGGTAATCTGCTATTAAACCTAAATGCAACATACTCACACCACTTGCTTCTTGCTTCTGAGGTCAAAATGGTATCCAGGAAATTTGTGAAACAGGTAAATTAATCTACAGGCCAATGCAGTGCAAGTATCTAAATGAAGATGGAATTTAGGCCATAGAGTGTAACAGAGTGCTTTCCTTCAACTTTGGGCACAGGATCATTAGAATTTCTGCCACTGCTTAGGACATCTGTGATTTGCAATTGTGCTGAACTGTTAAAACTTAACATTTAAACCAGAAATATACAGAAGCATTAATAGGCATGTTGGAGGTTTAAAACCAATACTGCATGTGGTTTTCATGAAGATCAGGAAGTACAAAAGCCTACTGGTTTGTTTTTATAAAATAAACTATTGCTTGTTTCAGAAAAATGTAATTAAACTGAGTATTACAGGTAAAGAACCCAAACACAAAACATCTGGAGATAGTCCGAAAGCTTCTCTCACATTACTGTAGTCAAGCCATAATTACAAATATTTTCTTCTACTTAGAGAGATAATTTTTAGCTGGCTGGGGATCAGTTATGGCACCTTTCGTGTTTTATCACAAAGGAAATTATCTTTTGGAATTCTGAAAGGATTCTTGGCAAATATAAAGTATGTCATGGGCTTGAATTAGGGTGGGGGAAAAAAAACATTTATTCTATCATACTACTTCACTAAACCATAGCCCTTAAAAAACTCCCCATCTTAACGTAGAATTTTATACCTGTTGCAATGACATGCTCTTATATTTAGAAATGGAAATAATGTCTTCAAAAAATTATCACTTTAAAAAAGAATTAACGTCTGTCAAAACATCAGTGGCTAAACATTGCTAGACACTCCATAAGTTTATAATCAATCAGTTCAAGATTTTCTACTATGTTAGTTTTTCTATGACTTAATGACTGATTCTCCTTCTCACAGAATGACTTTGAACAAGTGAGAAGTAAAATCTTTATATAACAGCATGTAAACATTGCCAAAGATTTTAGTCTAAAGGTCAGATGCCTAGAATACATGTCAGGCAATTTTCTAGAAAATTCTGCAGTGCTTGCCATGACTGAAATGCTGGCATATTTTGCATACATCAATCTTCAATTATTTTCTGGTTTTGAGAACTACATATGATCTACACTGACACTATACTGGGAATAAGGTGTGTCACTGGTGTGTGAGACTGCACCAGATACTGCGTGGGTATTTCACTGTATTTGGCCACACACAGTGAATGGGTAATTTTTGGATTTCTCTACTTACTCCCTCTGTTCAAATTTTTAAGCTGCTCTGCTTGAATATATGTACTAAACACTACTGTGGAACAATCAGAAAAAAACATATATTTTAAGAAAAAAATGCATAAAGCTTAAACTGGGCAAAGTCCCCTTAAACTGTAGCTAATTTTTGCTTGCTGAAGAGTCAGCACCCATTTCCAAAGGCACTAACAGATTCCTGGTCTACCACCTCAGCTCAGCAGAAAAGTCTCCATTTTAATACAAATGGCCTAGATGGTATTAAAGTATGTATGCTGTTTCCATATCATACTGGTTTATATCCTCCTGCATGCTGGAACTTTAGTTCTTGCAGTATATGCAGTAGATGTTCTTGCAGCACATGTACATGTTTGCAGCTCTTCTGAAAGTACACAGGTGTTTTGATGGAGAATTACAGAATCATAGAATAGTCTGGGTTGGAAGGGATCTTACAGATCATTTAGTTCCAAACTCTCTGCCAATGCTATAATAGGGACAGCTTTCACTAGACTAGATTGCTGAAACTTCCATCCAACCTGGTCTTGAATGCGTCTGGGAATGGAATACCCATAGCTTTTCTGGGCAACTTACTCTAATATCTCACCACCCTCACAGGACAGAATTTCTTCCTTATATCTCATTTAAAGCTGCCCTCCATCATTTTGAAGCAATTCCCCCTTGTCCTATCACTACATGCCCTTGTAAAAAGTCTTTCTTCAGCTTGCTGGTAGGCCCCTTTTAGGTCTCTCTAGGGTGTCCCCACAGTCCTCTCTCTTCCAGGCTGAACACCTCCAAGTCTCTCAGCCTGTCTTCATAGGACTATGCTCCAGCCCTCTTGGTCATCTTTAAGGCCCTCCTCTGAACTCCCTCCAGGCTGATGTCCTTCTCATCTGGGGCTCTTGGAGCTGGTTGCAGTAGTCCAGGTAGAATGTCGTAAGAGTGGAACAGACAGGGAGAATCCCCTCTCGACCTGCTGGCCAACTCCTCTTTTGATGCAGCCCAGGATACGGTTGGGCTTGTGAGCTGCAAATGCACATTTGTTGGGGCACATTGAGCTTCTTCCAGCAGTTGAATTTGATGATCCTTGCGGGTCTCTTCCAGCTCAGGATATTGTGTTTCTATGATTTTCATCAACCGATATCCCCAAGTCCATCTCCTCAGGGCTGCTCTCAATCCATTCTCTATCCAGCCTGTACTTGGGCTTGCTGAACTTCATGCACCCACCACTCAAGCCTGTCAAGGTCTGCCTGGATGGTATCCCTTCCCGCCAACACACCACACAGCTCGGTGTCATTGGTACACATACTGAGGGTGTACTCAGTCCCAGTCTCCATGTCTGCAGCAGAGATGTTAAACACCACCAGTCCCAGCACCAACCCCTGAGGAGTGTCACTTGTTACTGGTCTTCATCTGGACATTGAGCCATTGCCCACAGCTCTTGCCCAGTGTGAATATCCAACCAATTCCTTATCTTTGAGTGGTCTCTGAATGAAATCTCCTCACAGACCAGAAGAAACATCGAAGTCCTCTATCAGGACATGAACTCTCCACTCTCCCAGCCCATCTCAGTTTTTCAAGAGCTTCCTCAAATGCTTTGTACGTCCTCCCAAGTCCAACAGCTCAAACTTTGCATTGTGCTGCAAAAATGTTCCTCAAGCAGGCCACAAAGTCTCTTTTTCATAAACCAAGTAATGGATAAAGATACCAGCACAGCACCAGCACTGGGAGCAATCAGTTATGAACGACTGGTTGGGAGTGGAATACATACTGGACAGTCTCATGGAACTGGGACTCCAACAACACAATGGCAGGATCATTAACATGACTGCTAATGCACAATGTCAGTGCAATTCAGTTGCCTCCAAAGCATGGAGACATGCACAGGTTGAATTTGAACCCAAGCACATTCTCTGGGCTGATGAACAACATAACTAACAGGGACTCTAGCCTTACAGCATTCAAATAGTACAGACAGCTTTCCCCAGTACTTTGGAGAGGGAAGGGGTATCTTAGAGTTCCAGCACAGCTGTCAAATCACTAGTCAAGAGGGATATACACATTTCAGAGAGGAACTGAACCATTACTATTTGATCCATTTTTAGTAGCTATACTTCTATAAGTTTGGGAACTTAGAAGAGGAAAGATATGAGCATGGGATTTAAATTCAGGTCTAGGTGTATCTTCCAGGAAAAAAAAAAAAAAAAGGTACTTCCAGGATAAGAGATTTCAGAAACCTTAAGACTCCTTACTATATTGTTCATTTTTCATTTTGTGCTGGATGTGGAGAGCTCTAACAGTGCTTAGGGAACTTACTAAGTTTAATAAGGTTGCTGAGGAATGTAACTCTCAGTTCCATGGCCTGGCTTCCATGGTGCTGCAGAAGACTATACTAAAGAATGAGAGGTGTTGCAGAGTTCATGTCTTAATAGTATAATGAGAAAAAAAATCAAGTTGGAATGGGGGTCTGAAGGAGTAACACTTTCTTAAAAAATTTTCCCTACTGATTTATATAATCTACAATAGGGAAAATAGCTTCTAAACTGCTTAACTGATAAGATAAAAAGATGATATATTTTAAAAACCAGTTAAAACTGCATCTAGCAGAAAACAATGACAAAATCTGGAATCTAGACAGAAGTAGCATTTATGATTTAAGATATACATGTATAAGGTATTATTTTATGAGCTGAAAATTAAAGGCCTATGCAGAAGTTGCATGCATCTCTCCCTCCTGCATTTTCTTTAATTGCATCTTACAATCAGACAGATTTGATTGGAAGACTAACAGAGCCTACTTTGTCTATGCTCCCAACTTTCTCTGTGCAAAACACACCCACCACCAACTCTCATAATCCACTAATTTGCATATTTTCATGAATGTTTTGCATTGAGCAATAAGGGTGTGAGACAATTTTACCTTTGAGCCACAGAAAACAACATGGTCACCTTAAATAGTTAATATTTCACTTCCATTTCGTTAGATATACTGTTAATACCTCAATTCCAGCTTCATAACTTCAGAGAAGTCTTCAAATTTTTTTTCTTCTGTTTGCAGATCGTTAATAGCATCTAGGAGTTTCTGCTGATCTCCAGCATTTGTAATGCCAATCTAAATTTAAAGAGCAATTCCAAATATTACTTACTTTTAAATTTACGACACACAACAGTACAATAACACATTTTGCTAGCTTCTAAATGTTAAGATTTAAAAGAAGTTCTTTTTAAGTCATTGCAACCAGCTATAATGTATGTAAGTGACAAAGGAAAAAATAAAACCACAGAAAATATTCAATGGTGCAGAACAAAATGACAGAAGATAAGGAACTGCCAAATTGAAACTGCAGGTTACTCAGAAAATCTGTTTAGAGTTTATTGAAAAAAATAATAGCAGTTTGCCTAAGTATTATCCCAGTCTTGTTAGGCTTCCCATTTCACAATGATCTGAGTCATCTCTGACAGCAATATAACAAAATATCATGATGGTAATACAGCATTAACTCAGAAATAAAGAGTAGAAATTATCAAATCAGAATTAAATGGAGAATTTTACAGGAAGACATCTTTTTTAACTGGAGGAAAACACAAAAGATATATACTATGTAACAAATTCTCCAAGTGATGCCTGGAGCAGAAAGCACTGGCAGATGTGCTATCCATCAAGTATCTCAGATTAAATTTTAAGTCATATTTAAATCCTAGGCTGAGAGTTTTCTTGTAGAACACTTAAAGAATAAGAAGAGCTCATTTGTTAAGAGGGAAATGCTTCTGTTGCACATTCAGTATTTCCTCTGCTCCTCTGACAGGCTGCTGTGCAATGCAGGACTTCTGGTGTTAGCAGCCCTAAGATGCCCCTTCACACAAGTGAAAAATCTCTTGACTTTGCTCCTAAGGTGCCAGCTGGAGTACCTGACTCTACAGGAGTAGACGACTCTGGTATTTGAGACTCAACAATTACAGAGTCTCCAAACTTAGACTATATGGGATCCTCACTGATATTCTAAGGACTTGAAGTTACCTTCTGCACCCCCAGGAATCTGGAAGATGCAGTCTCCCAAATTTCTCACAAAGAATTTTGAACAAACAGCTGATAATCCACATCAGATCGACATTCTAGGGAAGAGATTGTGCCTAGAGAAATGCTTGCTTTTATCTGAGACACAATGTTCTGACACCCATTGTTCATTGTGACTGCAAATAACTGTCCTCCAGGTTCTCCATCAATTAGAGGTAACAAATAACTATGGGCTCACCAGTGTACTGTTAAACATTTCAAAACCATCTTAAGTTTATAGACAAGTAAGTTCTTCAGCAATGAAAAATCCCAACAAGATTAATTGGGAATTTAACTACAGGTGTCAAGATCTTTTGAGTTTGTAATAGGATTCCACGGGTCCCTGAATAAATTGTACTGAAGTCTTTTTAGGAAATACCACTAGCAGCCTTAAGACAGAAAGATCTGGGTTTCCAATAAATAATTTGCTTCACTTGTCTTGAGCTGTAAGTTTGCTCAATTCATTAGTTCTCAGGTTTGCCTTGTGAAGCGCTATCTGGTATGAACTAATATTTTCTTAAGGCTTACAAAACATTACAGCAGTCATTTTATCATGAATAAGTAAGCAGATTTCTACAATAGCAGTTATTCTTGAGGAATTAAAACTGTCTTGCTTAACATAGGAAACTATTGTGAAGACTGCCTTTGCTTTTGACTCCACCTCCTCATTCCCAAAACCAGCAAGTCAGGATACAGTTCCCCTAGAAATAAAACATCCTTTTGTTCTTCTGCAAATTGATCACTAAGCACCACGACATCTTCAAAATACATGTCAGGAAGTAAAGAATGTGATAAATGTCACTATAGCCTTCTACCACCATAGTAATTCTGCCCACATAGTAATTCTTTTACTTAGTGGTAAAAGGTGCAGAAGTTAAGAGACGGAAGGTTGACAGATCAGTCCAAACTACTTCCCAATTTCTAGAGCATGAACATGAACATGAAGTGGACATGAAGTGGGCCAGAACCTGACAGTTCATGCAATAATGAATGCATGGAACAACTAAAGTGCAATAAATCCTTCTTGATAGTTAAGTGAATTTTTAGGTTGGTGTCGGTTCACTTGTGCTCTACAGTCCAAATTATGCAAGTATTACTGTGAAGTGGCCATGTTTAAGAACACACAAGTGCTGTACAATAATTTGGCTATATCTGTAAAACAGACTATAAGCACTGTCAATTTCAGCCAGACCAACTCTAGGAACACCTATTTTTTTCTTTACTTAAATACATACAAAGCAGCCCCTTGAAATCCAAGCCCCAAGTTCACTCCAGCATGAATGTGACAAGAGGTGAATAAGATTACCTCAACGCCTGAAAAATTATATACTGCACAGATAAAACCAGTCAAGCTATGCACAAACCTGACATCAATGCCACTTTGCCCAAGTAACCACTAATTTTAATAATCTGACACATTTCTGTCAAGTATTAAATGCTTTTTTCAGAGTGGGGGCAGAGGAATGAGTCCTGGAACTGTGATACAGACATACATAGACCAGATAATTATCCAATTATGTAGTTAAACTTCTGGATTATATTTTGAATTTTGATGTGTCAAGTTTTCATTATACATTCTCAAATCCAAAACAAGACACCAATTTCTCTTATTCTAAACTAAATAAAATGTAAGAAAAAAAAATTTTGTCCTAAATGCATCCAGAAATAAAATTACTTCTCTTGCTATTTTATGAGAAAAATGCTTAAAGCAAAATAAAAAATGTGAGCCTCATTAGTAGTGCAGACAAAAGCCTCCAAATGTTGAATAGACATGTCCCAGTATATTGAACACATTTTTTCCAGAATGGAACAGTTTATAAGGTTAAGGAATGCAAGGATTTCAGCTTGATAGACTCATTGTTTAGGCTCTGTTGTAGAATACAGATAAAGATATTTACAGAGAAAATATCTTCCTATATTGTTTGATGGAGGAAAGCATATCATGTTAATGACAGGATTTCTCCCCAGTTCTCTGGATACAAAGCAGCTTGGTTCAGAGGCATCCATCAGAGGTCATCATTAATCTTTGTAGTAATAAGATCCAGGCTCTTTAAAACAGCTGGCTGTTAGCTGAAGGTCTGCTATCACAGTAAAAACTTTCAACTCTGAAGTTACAAGGAAACAGATTAGATTTGTTCTATCAGCAGTGTGGGGAGAAGCCCTTAGCAGAGCTCTAAAACTAGACTGCATAAAGAATTCAGGATAACTTATGAAGTGCTAATAAGCCAGGAGTGTTATGCCATTTTTTAATGTCTCCTCAACTAAAGACTCACTAATTAATTTATGTCCATGCACAAAGCATGACTTATTTTTCCTGTTTCCTGCTGTTACACAGTTAGCAGACAAAGCAATTAAATTCTTACAGATATTATCTTCCTGTGTAGAAGCAGCTGATCCATGTAGTTATTTCAGTTTGTTCAAAGCTTTGTTTGCTTTCATAATAGCAAGCCTCAAACAATTTAGACTGAAACAGAGTTATTATTTTGAATGAAATTACACATCTTTGGAGAGGGAACCATAAAGCTTAACCATTCACTGAAGTCCACAATTCTCTCCTCTTCCCACAATGTTTCCTGGACAAAAACAAGTGATAACTACAATACTAAAGCAAGTGATCAATATGATAATACACTCAGACCAATTTACAGTTTAATGCAATCCTGCTCAACACAGCAGCTCACAAAATACTGAGCAGAAATCCACAAGAATCTCCTTAAAGGACAAAACTACTATCAAGAGGGGGTTTAGAGTTCTAAAAATTCCAGGACACCAGGATGCTGTCCAATGATCCTGAGGCTTCAGAAAAGCAGTAACATGAAAACATACTGACATGTCTTATAATATTTTGCCCTAGATGAACTCTTAAAAATCTCTTAATTGACAAAGCTCCCTATGTGAACAGCATTATCTACTGCTATTCCTAGCACTGATTTCCCTTCAGAGAAATCACACTGAAAACCTAAAAATGGTAACAACTAAAACTTAAACTAGAACTATTTCCGGTTCACCCCAATCACTCATTGGTCTGTGAGATTACACACTTCAGAAAAACCCTGTCTATATTAATATTAAAATTCAAAAAGTTGCAGAAGATGCTGAAGGAATTCTTGCAAGGTTAGACATTTATAATGAGAAGTTAAGACATTAAAAGCATTTAAAAAAGAGGCAAAATTAAATTAAATTCTAAAGTAGCAAACTGACCTGTATTAAGTCATCTTTTTGCATGATCAGAAGTTGTCTTAAAGTTATACCTTGTTCCTGTAGAAAACAAAGGGGTTTCTGCCATCAAAAAGAATTTCAGAATAAAACAGTTTTAACTTGATTTTCTTCCCTGTTTTACTTCAGTTTTCAGGAACAAAACTAGGTACAAAACATCAGTATTGAAGCAATAAAGTTCTGTCTAGTTTAGAAATATCAAATGTTGTGACTAATGCACATAATCAAGAAATCAAATTTAGTCCTCTGCAGTTTAACATTTTATAAATAAATTTCTGTTTAAGGAATGCAGTAGGTGCATTTTGCCTTCACAGATTACTTCACAGGTAGCAAATATACCACAAAATTACCTCCAATAATCCTCTAATGTGTTCTAGACCAAGACCATGTAAAAACACTTCCATGTCATGAAAAGTTGAATAGGAACTGTAAAGACAATTAATGAGACTGGAGTTAGAAACAGGGGAAATTAAAAAAAGAAAGAAATAATAAATCCGTAACAAAATGTTACAGAAAATCTCCCCAGACATAGCACTTGGGAGGAACCTGAAGCTGCACACACCTGCTGATGACAGAAGTACCTTATAAGCATACAACTTAATCTGTCAAAAATTTATAGATGTCTTTTCTGTCTAGGAAGTTGAATTGAGCCCAAAGGAGATGACTTTTGTATCTAAAGGTCATTTTAAGTCACAAAACATTCCCAATGAACCTTAAAGTTGGATCACAAAAGCCTGAAAAATGTGGAAGTGGGATTAAAGAAGGTAACTATGTATTGTTATCAGACAACATTCACATTAATTGGATTCAGTCCACAACTGCTACCCTTCTGGTTCCAGTTAAGCCAAAAAATGTTAACAAGAAAACAGGACTGTCTGTAATTAAATATAGTGGAAATTACTCCATCAAGAAACTTGACCAAAGACCAACGTTCCAAAGGTAGACTGAGGAAGTAGTTAACACTGAACTGTAGGTTCAGAGTTTAACACTTGTAAACAAATATAAAATATCAACATTGATCACCACTCTACCAATGGATATAAAAGTATATGAGGAAAAATAACCAAACAACCAGATAAGCCGTAATGAAATTAATTAAATGGAAGAGCAAATCCTACAAAATCCTGCAAGGACTACTCCATTTGCTACAACAACCTCTATCCAAAATCCTGACTTATGACATAACTTTGCTCTGTCTTGTTTTATGCTCTGAAATGAAGGTTTGCCTCCTCTTCCCCTCAAAAACTGAAGGAGAATCTTGAGTGCCATCACATAGCATGTACAGGGCAGCCAAGGAAAGGGGCCCAGCCAGCATGGGTTTAGGAAAGATGGGTCCTGCTAGACCAACATGACCTCCTCTGAAGACAAGGTGACCCAGCTAGTAGATGAGGGAAAGGTTGTGGATGTTGTCTTATCTAGCTGGACTTCAGTAAAGCCTCCAATACTGTCTTCCACAGCATTCTCCTGGAGAAGCTGGCAGCCCATTGGGTTAAAAACTGGCTGCATGCCCAGGCCCAGAGAGTGGTGGTGAATGAGTTACATCGAGTTATGATACTTTGCACCAATTGAGTTACATCCAGCTGGCAGTATTACATCACTGATAGTATTCCCCAGGGCTCCATGTTGGGGCCAGTCCCGTTTAAGAGTTTAACAATGGTCCAGATGAGGGGATCGAGGTTACCCTGAGTTGAGTTCACACATGACACCAAGCAGGGTGAGAATGCCGATCTGCTGGAGGGTTACAAGGTTCTGCAGAGGGACCTGGACAGCTGGATCAATGGACCAAGGCCAACTCTATCAGGTTCAATAAGGCAAAGTGTTGGGTGCTGCCCTTTGGTCATACCAACCGCATGCAGTGCAACAGGCTGGGGGAAGTGTCTGGAAGGTGGCCCAGCAAAAAAGGACCTTGGGGTGCTCACTGACAGATGAATATGAGCCAGCGTGTGCCCATGTGGCCAAGAAGACCAATAGTATCCTGGCTTGGATCAGAAATTGTGTGGCCAGCATGACCAGGGAAGAGATTGTCCCTGCGCACTCAGCACTGGTGAGGCCACACCTCAAGTTCTGTGTCCAGTTCTGGGCCCCTCCCTACAAGAAAGACATCGAGGGGCTGGAGTGTGCCCAGAGAAGGGCAACAAAGGTGGTGAAGGGTCTGGAGAGTGAGTTGTACGAGGAGCGGCTGAGGGAGCTGGGGTTCTTTGGCACAGGGAAAAGGAGGCTCAGGGGAGACCTTATCACTCTACAGCTGCCTGAAACAAGGCTGCAGCCAGGTGAGGATTGGCTTCTTCTCCCAGACAACCAGCAACAGAATATGAGAGCTGACCCAAGGGAGGTTCAGGCAGGATATCAGGAAGAATTTCCTCACTGAATGGGTGGTCAAGCATTGGAACAGGCTGCCCAGGGAAGTAGCTGAGTCACTCTATCCCTAAAAGAGTCCAAGAAATGACTGGACGTGGTGCTTAGTATTAAGGTTCACTTGGCATGGTAGTGTTTAGTCAAGGGTTGGCCTCGTGGAGGTGTTTTCCAATCTAAATGATTCTAAAAACAGGATCTGGTGAGGCTTTGTCTGAAGTACTCTGCCTGAGACCACTTCATTGTGAACTGCCATCAGCCCATCAGCCTAATGCTACAAATCTTGAGCATTTCAAATTCAGCAGGACTAGCTGAGCAGGGGCATTATGACCAATCAGAACAGACTGTGGGCACTGCAAGCTGTCTTTTTAAGACCACACAGCTCAAGCTGAAGGACACAAGTGGTTGGTTTGTTGAGGACTTCTCAGCCATGCTCTTGCACAAAATCGTATCAGGAATCTCTGAAGTTGCTGAAGCGGGTGCTGATTTGAGGCATAGGGCACCTTCAATCCTCAGTGTCAGGGGCACACTGCCAAAACTTCCAGAGCTCAACTGGTATTCATACTTAATTTTGACTTTCCAATTGATTCAGGAAAAAAGAAAATGGCATAGCTCTTCTTTATGCAATGAAGCTGAACAGACATTCGGTGAAAGCATCAAAAATTTAACGTGATAATGAAGACTTTATCTAAGTACAGAACAAGAAGTATGCAACAGGGGAGCATACAAATGTAACAGAGCTGAAATGAAGTGACACTGGCTCTCCTATACTTTACACTGAATGAAAGAAAAGAAAAATCTAGAGCATGCTTTTTTTTATATTGCCAAGGAACTTTGTAATCTTGAAAAATTGATCGTACATTAATATACTTATTGTGGACTCTTGGTAGCATTCCAAACAAAACACATTATGTATCAAAGCAACTTAAGCATTGATATGAACAAATACAATCTCTTAGGAATTTTTATAAGCTAAAATTACATTACAACTGTATTTACCCAACACTGTGGTCAGAGACAGCAGTCAGAAATTTGCAGATAGTCTCTTGCTCAGCTGTTTTATGGTATCTCCCTTGCACGTGATTTGCAGCCAAAGAGAGCAAACTAAATATCTGGAACAGCCAAAATTAATTAATTATTATTAAAACTCAAAATGTAAAAAAAATATATAGGAGTAAGATTACAATCAATTACTACTTACAGGGAACATGAAACATCTGCCACTTCTCTAAAGCATACACCTATAACAAAAAGACTAAACTAGGAGTTCACCAATAGCGTTTCTGAATTAACTAAATTCCAGCACAACGATGTACACAGAGAAGAGTGGTGTCTATCATATGGTCTAAAAAAAGCATCTGCCACTACAGAAAAAGCCAAACACCAACACAGTAATTTTTGCTGCTTGTTTGCAAGAATTCTACACACTCAATGCAATAAGTTCTCCAAAGAACACAAGTCATATGACTCTTTTAATGTCTTCATTTCTAGTGCATATATAAACATAACATTTATCAATTTACAACTGACAATCTAAGTTAACTATATCTGACAGACAGGGATTCTTTCAACTGATCAAAGAAGAAGCCTCCTGCTAGGCATCACTATGCAGTAGTGATGGATTGCAGACATTGAACTGTCTCTCTGTGGGTTTTGAGGTAGTTACAGGAAAATTCAGCAAAAGAAATAAAACCTCAATAAAGCTGAAAGAATAGTGAAACCACTTGCCAGAAATTTAAAACTGGACTAGCCAGTTCTATATACAGACACACAAGTATGTGGGTTGATGCTGGCTGGCAAATAAAACCCTACTGAGGCCAGCAGGATGGGGACAATGAGACATGTAAAAGTGAGAAAATTTCATGGACTGAGCTAATACAATTTGATATGTGAAGGGGAAGAAAAACCCAAACCCAAAAGCTAAGTGATGCAAAAGCAGGAACTTGCCACCTCCCAACAATAGATGAATGGCCACTCACTCTCCAATTTTACTGCTGAGCATGATGTTAGAGGGCATGGAATACCCCTTGTGTCAGATGGAGTGAGCAGCCCAGGGCTGTGCCCCCTCCCAACCTCTTGCTCACTCTCAGTCTACTTGCTAGAAACGAGAAACAAAGAGGGCCTTGATTCTGCACAAACACTACTCAGCAATAGCTGAAACACTGGTGAGTTATCAACACTGTTTTGGTGACAATCCTAAAACACAGCATCCTACAGGCTGTTTGGAAGAAAAGTAACTCCCAGTCAAATCCAGAATAATACAAATGAAAAATATTTTCCATCCCAGAAAGAGTTTCTGCAGACATCATCTGTATGACAGCCCCATGGGTTGTCAACAGCCTGAAAGCAGACCCTGAAGCGAGAAGCAGCTCATGACCATTAAATATCTCAATACCATCTGCAAGACTTCGCACCAATTGTGTGAAAGTCAGCACTTCAGGTCAAGAGGCAAGAGCCATCTCTCAAGTGTGACAAGCCTGTATTCCCTCCATGTCAGAGAAAGTCATGTTATAAGACTATGGCTGCAACTTGCTGAACAAGTTGTTTATCAAAGGCAGAAAGCATTTGTAACCCTTTCCAGTAACCTGAGCTAGCAGACCACTGAGCCTCAGACACAGATCTTGCTAGCTTCCACTGACAGCTCTGTGCATAGCTATCATTTTTGCTCCTAAAAAAAAAAAAAAAAAAAAAAAAAAAAAAAGAAGAGGTAAGGACAAAAAGCTGTAAATTGCAATTCATAAGAGTGAATTATACATTTTTGAAGAGCCAGTGTAAAAAGCCACATCATTGGTAAGAGCAACTCAGAACAAAATACACAGGAATATGGTCTGACTGATCTACCATGTATCATCTGATAACAGCAGTAAATGTATTTGTTTTAGGAGAACACATGTTGTCTTCACTAGGTCTCTACATTGGTAATTAGCAGCGGCTCTTTCCATGATCTGAGGGCAAATTTACATTATTTTACACCTTCCTCCAGAGAACAGATTTTGAAAATGGCTAATACAAACTTCATTTTTTTTGGCTTTAGCTTTTCATTTCCAAACTCAATGTGAAACTATACTCTACAAATCAGTTTGATATCAGCATTCTCTCACGTTCTTTGGCAGATAGGTAAAAAACAACACAATTTTCTACTTCTCATATCAAGACAGCAAACATGAATAATCCCTTGTTTTGCATTCTACGTCTAAAGTCAGTGTTTCTGAAAGAATAAAGAAAAAAGGTTTCAAAACACTACAGTATAGCCTTTACAGCACTGTGAAAAGCTGTGATATCACAAAAAATAGCCTGTTATAAACATAAAAACAGCAGTAGTATTCAACTAGCTGCTATAATGTTGTTATTGAAGTAATACTTCTACTGAAAATTATACAATTAATTAACAGATTTTTGACACACAACACAGAATTTGCATTTCTAAGAGAAATTAAATACCTCTAAATGTTTATTGATTTTTGCTAGTTCTGCTGCTGTTTTTTCATCCTTGGTCTGTAGATTTTTGTCAGCTCCTAGCTCAAGCAACTTCAAAATTACACTTTTATGTCCATGCTGTGCTGCCCATATTAATGCCTGCAAAGAACAACTTTGTTTTACCAATTTTACATATGAAACAAACACCTACAGTTTCAATAAAAGCATGGTGCAATATGGAGACAAAGACTTAATTAATTAATGCAAGAGGATCTCAAAGTAGTGTTAAAGCAGAAAATTATGAGGAATGTTTCTCAGAAAGCTGTACTTTGAAACAAGCTAGTGGATACTTGCTTTTTAAATTTTTTATCATTGAATACAACACACAAAATAAATCACTTACTGTATATCCGTTTTCATCTTGGGCATTTATGTGTGATCCATGAGCAACAAGAAAAGCAACAACCCGAGGATAGCCTTTTCTAGCTGCATACATCAGTGCAGTCATTTGCTTCCTGAAAGAAAAGGTGCCAGTTAAAATAGAGTATACCAAAATGCATTATGGAAAAATAAAGGTTCCACACTTCAATTTTCATTTAAAAAATATTTTTAAAAGGCACAGTCTAAGTGATGTGTTCTACACAGTTTCAATCCAAAGTTTGGAAAAATCTGCAGTTTCATCAAGGGAAAGATACAAATCACAACTGAATACATAAGAAAACGAGTATTGCAAACAACAACTATGTTCATAAATGCAAAACCCTCTCTGGCAGAATCAGTGTAAGCAAAAGAATCACAGAGCATACAGCTCTTACTGCTGTGCAGAGGCACGATGCAACAGCAGAGGCCGCACACCTATTACTAACAGTAACCCCAAGTACGCCCAAGTGAATTACATATACAGGTAATACTAAAGATCTTAACTTTTCAAGTACTAAAACTAAACACAATCTTGGTATTTTTACCCTTTATCCCATTTTTATCTTCTGCTCACAGAAGTTGCACCAGAGAAAGTTCAGATTAGATATTAATTTTTTTTGTTTTCCCCACTGAACAAGTGGTTAGGCACTGGAAGAGTTGCCCAGAAAAGTGAGCAGTTACTGTCTCAGGAAGTGCTCAAAAGGGGCCTGGATGTGGCACTCTGGCATATGGTTTAGGAGTGGTTATGGTGGTGACAGGTTGTTGGTCAGTCTAACATGATCTTGAAAGTCTCTTCCAAGCTTGCCAATTCTATGATTCTATGAAGTGTATCTGTTTATTACCTTCTTTCCCACACAGCTTACTGTTTCCTACAGCTGCTGAAAGAGTACTTAAGACATCACCCTTCCCATTACTTAGGTTTTTTGTATCCCAAAACCATGAGGACAGCAGTCTACTGATCTGTTTTAGGTTGTTTCCTAACCATATCATATCCCATAATCATCTGTGCCCCTAAATCATTACAGTATCTTTAAGATCTTGTAGTAGGGGACCTTGTGTGTGTGTGTGTGTGTGTGTGTGTGTGTGCGCGTGGAGATTGCTTTTATGCACTAAGTGGCTCCAGCCCAGTTGTTTCACCTTTTGCGCCCACTGTGCCATGCCTTGCCATGGGGAAGCTCTTTGTCTGCTGCTGGAACAGCTCTGTGAGGCTCCTGCCTTCCAGGGAAGGCTCTCATGCCATCCTGTCACTCCGTCCTACAAAGCCTGAAGCTCTCCTGCCAGGCTCATTTCGGGAACAGGTAGTTTCCAGCATTTCAGGTCTCTCTGTTGCAGTGGGGTATGAGGTCTAGCACTTACTTTTTTTCCCCATGTCTTTCAGCATTCTGTTTATTAATAAACCAATGTTTTCTCTGCTTTCATCTCTTATTATTCATCTCTTATTGGTGGAGAGAGATTGCTGGAATACTTAAAGGAGATGACTCATTCCAAAGTGTTCTCCTTTGAACAGTCTCAAACCAAGACATGATCTTATTGTTCTAGATGAAGCCATTGTAAAATACATTGTAAAATACAGCTCAAAAACTTCTGTTTGCAAAGTATCTTCCCAGATCCATGACACATTCTTTGGTGGAACAAGATTGCAAAATTAAGGAAAAAAAAAAAGCACTACTGGAGGAAAAAAGATTGTAGAGTTTCTGGCTGCTACTAAGTAATAAGATTTAAACCAAAATATTTTACTACTGTTTTTTTAATTAAAATCTATTGTATTTTAAAAAGCAACTGTTTTACATGAAAAAATACTAGATTTTGCTTGTGATGTATAGCTCCATGTCAAAAATCTGGTCAATAAAGATTATTCTATTTTGCTAGGATATACCTGAGAGGGGGGAGGACTTCCCAATACTGTGCTTCTTAATACTAAGTTCATTGACCACTAGAGGGATCCCCAAATTCATGTCTTAAAGCAACTGCCTTAGAATTTCTGTCTCCTTCAGAGAGCTTTTCTAGAACTAAGGCTTTGGACATCTTTCTTTGGTTTTGATTATTCATACAAGGATAATGTTTTGTCCTATGCAAACACAGTTAAAAGCATACTGAATGAAATCCAGTAACATTACAAATTTGAAACAACCTTATGCTAGGGGAAAAGAGTCAATCACACAGAGATAAGCAAAATGAAAGATAACGAGACCTTCAAGACATACAGCCAACAACATAAAGGAACTTGGTAATGAAGCAAAAAACTTGCATCAGTCTAGAACTAACTTAGTTTATCAACACTACAAAAGCAGAAGTTGTGACTGTATGTGAGGAGACATTTCACCATGGAGCACAGCCAGTCAGTGGAACTGGTTGCTCAGAGAAGTTTTTTAGTTTCCATCTTTAGTGGATTTCAAGACCAGATGGCAACCCAGCCCTATTTTACAGCAGATGTAGCTTTAAAGAAGCTGGACTAGAAACTTTCTGAAATCACTTCTGACCTGAATTACCCTGTGAACCTATGAAGATTACTATAAAAATTGAGGAAGACTATGATCTCCATCTTCAAATTAGTAACTGGTATCTATACATCTCGCTATCTCTATAGGTCTCTATGGATATGTCTATACAGAGACATATACAGATATCTATATTTTAAAGTATGAACAAAAGTTGATTACAACCAATAATTTGTAGCAACAAAATTCAAGCTTGTTTGCCTAACATGGACACTCACTCCCATGCTTATTTCTTTTCAGTGATAGGTAGCCTTTGACAAACTTCCCATGCCATCACCTCCGACGCATTTACTATTTACATCTGACGGCAAAAGCAGTCCAATCATGCCCAATTTCATTTTCATTTCTCCTGCTCTCAACCTTTTTTTTTTTTTAATTTTGATACTACTTCACAATTATCTTCTGCTTTTTCAAAGGAAAAATACTAAACAAAAGCCCTGAGGCTACAAAATAGTCTGTTCTCCAAAGAATACGATGTAGTTAACAGCTGTATAGTACTGCAGACATGACATCTGAAATCAACCCAATAACTCAATGACACTAAAGCTGCTAAAAGGATTGCTCCACTTACAAGTAAAACTCAATAAATACAACATTTAAAAGGTCCATCAAATGCACTGCAAGCATTTCATTTCGGGGCTTGATTTTTAGTTTCAAAGGATACAAGCTGTTTCAGGATGGAAACACATGCACTGCTGCACAAAGTTGCGCCTCTATGTGCAAGAGGGGGCACTGAACCACCCCATGAAAGCAGCATCCATTTACATGTACGGCCACAGGAGGGAGACAAGAGCACTGGGGAAAACAAACCTTGTTTTCCTAACCCTGAAATGAACCCCCACAACCACAACAGCAAGCTTTAACATGGCAAATCCACTTTCCTGCTTAAGTTGAGGAGAAACTAAACTTATTGGTACATCTCAGTGCAATCTAAAAATGTTCATAGAGAGTATAATGATAATCATCCAGACAGACCTTAAGGATCCTCTCATCATTTTGAGCAACTGCTGTGTTTCAGCAGTCTGGCTTGCAGATGACCTTCTTGTCCAAATACCCATTAAGTCCTTTTGTATGCTACAATTTGCCACATGACATTTTTCCATATTGAGTATGATACTCAAGTCATAGTCAGTAAATAAATAAAATCTTAAAAGGTATATAAGCTATTTATTAATAAATCTATTATTTTAAATTTAATAATTTAATAATATTTAAATTATGATTAATAAATCTATTGTCATCTATGTTTGCTTCCAGTTTTGCAGCACCTATATTAAAAGCAGGGCTTCATGCAAATGAAAAGAGATTTTTGTTTGTTTATTTATCTTTAGAGTCACTGAAAATTTTGAGTTGGAAGGGACCCACAAGGATTATAAGAGTCCAACTCCTGGCCTTGGACATGACGAGCCCAAGAATCACACCACATGGTTGAAAGCACTGTCCAAATGCTTCTTGAGCTCTGTCAAACTTGGTGCTATGACTATTTTCCTGAGCAGCCTGTTCCCATGCCCAACTACCCTCTGGAAGAAGAACCTTTCCCTAATATCCAATGTAAACATCCTTTAACACAGCTTCACGCTCTAAATCTCCCTGCTTTTATATTAAGACTGGAGAAAAAGACAAAAATGGAAGCTTTTTCAGTTTCTAGGGCCATCCAAGACTTAGTATGTGATGTGCACACAAAGATACAACCAGTGAAATTCTTACAGGCTCACTTCACCTTGTGGAAAAAACAGAAAAATTTACATCACAACACAAGCTGAGTAGAAGAGACCTACTACCCCGAAGCCTCCTATCCTGGATGATCAGGAGCCATGACAGAACTGGTGATAAAGTTTTATCTCCTTGATGGCAAGCATATAACTCAAAAATGTATTGAATAGCCATCGTTAAACTGAATCTGTGGTGCACAATTCATTGCACTTGACAAATAAACATGCTTATGTTTGGGATCATGATCTCAAGCAAGACAAACTTCACCTTCCTAGAAAATTTCAATAGAGGAAGGAGAGATGTCTCCTATTTACACACAGGTTTCTTTCCACTGGGGAGACATCTATAGAAAATTCACTATTTCAAGTTGGTGGTCTTGACAAGTTTTAAGTGAAGTCTCATAACTGTATATGTGTTTATTAACAAGACCAGTGTATCAATAATACTAAAAAAAACTGTACAGCAGGTCGAAAACAATTTAACCCAGAGTTTAGTCTCCATCTTTTGAGATCCCAAAGCAAGGAAATGATACTGCAAGACACTATTTTAGTCTATTGATCTGTAAACTGTACAATGCTTCAGATAAACAGGAAGCATCTTCAGAAGCTTTTGGAGCCAGTTTCCCCACTCCACTGCTGCACATTAAGCCAGGAACTGAGAAATTAAGTGGCAACAGTGTGCTCACAGCAACAGAAGATAATTATCTGCCCATTTTCTGGCTTAGTGGGATTTAGTGATGAAGTGGGAAACCCTATATAACAAGTAGTATTGGAAGAACAAACTTCAGTAAAACTTTAGGAAAGCACTACAGGTTAAAAAAAGTTTTTAAAACACACTACTTAAAGATTGCCAGGCTTTAGATAGGGAGAAAGCATATAATTTACATTTTGAAGCAAGAGGAAGGTGAATGACATGAAACAAGCAAAACAAATTTCTCAAGGTAGCACTCGCTTAAATGAAGCATTCAGTCTATAGTAGCTCTACAATGGCTGTTCAGAGCGGGTCTCACAATGCCTTCTTGTTTCACCTTGCCATTACTCTGCTTGTTTGACTTTGAAAACCCTTTAGCTAGCACTTATGCTTTGATACACTACATTCTCATCAACAAAGCTGTTTTTACAGCCACCAGTACTCAGTTTCCAATTTTGATTCAGCAAAAATATCAGAAGTTATGCTACTGATTCCTTTTCAGAACCATATCCCCCTGCAAAGAAACCATCAACCTACCCATTCCTACACTCACCTTTCTCTGCATTTCAAAAATCAGTTTCTTTCCCACTCCACACACACTTTACAGATTAGACCCACTCCCTCCAGGTTTTACCACCTCCAGATGATCTGAAATAAAAGAGCCTACTGGTTGCCCTGATAGTGCAACAGAGAAAGGATAAACATTCAACCCCGCCTTACATGAAGGTTAAGCATTCTGTTTTGCATTCACACACATTCCAGCCGGTGGTAGACAAAAGAGAAGTTTCCCAGAATCATTCTGGTTCTTACATGCTGAGAAATCCAAGTAATGAGAACCTTAGTTCTTCACCTGTGCTAAGCTGATCACACAGGAAGTACTTTCACAATAATCTCAATACACTAACAGTTCAGATCACTCGCAGGGACATCCTGCTTGTTCTAATGAAACAGGTGAAATGGGACTGCAGTGCCAGAAAGAGGAGCTGCTTGATCCCTTATCGTCACATAAGGCAGTTTATTGTGTTTTATTCTCATTTCTGAACACAGAGCAAGAAGTCCATGAGAAACAGCAGCTGTTTCCTGAGCAGACCCAATGACGGAGTGGCATGCACATATGCCGAATACTGGAAAGGCAGCTCAAAGGTTTGAGATAACAAGGTCTGGATTTTTCAAGCCTCTGCTTTTATCTAGCACAAATATGACATTTCTGATTGTCACTTAATTTATCTCTTCATTTGAGAAAGACTACTACTGCAAAAAATGAAAAAGTTACAACCACATCTGCTGGATGCATGAATAACTCATGTTAGCACAAGGTCTAAAGACAAAAAAAGATAGTAAATAAATATTTGTATATGAAAATCAACCATGCAAAACATACTCTAATTTTATAAATAAAATTAAAAAATTAGGATTCCTACCTCTTGTGTCAGCATTCATGCTGTTTTCCCCCAAAGTTTAGCCAAAGGCCTGTCCAAATGCAAACCTGCAGCTCTGCACACTCACGTTTCCAACACCCAAGACAAAGTTAATAATGCAAAGACCTATTTTTAGGTCTTTGATTTTCTGCATCATTAATAATGCAGATTCCCCTATATTTTAAAGCAGGATGACTATTCTAACACCAAGCTATTTGACAACAACAATATGTAATTATTTCAGAGTATGTAGCTTTCTCTTTTCTCATGAACAGTTTCTAGTCTCTCTGATAAGAATAAAAGAATAGTGTTTAAATTTGGTATCAGACATCAGTTGCATTTCAGCAGAACTCTGTTTCCTCCTTCCTCTTCCTCCTACCATCTATCAGCACTATACTCAAAGTGAGGTTCAGGGCCTTGAGTAATTGAATTCTACTTAGGTAAACCAAAGGTCTTCAATTCTATTCTACTCAGTCTATATATCCCAGGTAATGTCATGAAAGAGGTGTGGTATAAAAAATTCTGTTAAATGAAAAACCAGTTGACCTAAACAGTATTTTTTTTCAGCAGAGGCAAGACAGTTTATCCAGGGGTTAGTCCAGAATTTATTTCTTTTTCATGTAAAATAAAATAGTTCATCAGACTGTATAATCTCACAATGTACTGCTTCAAACTACTCAGACACAAAGTTGTAACTGAAGAAGGATGCTATTACTTGTTTCTAAAAGGAGCTTAATCTCTTTAATCAAAATTATTCTAGATTGCAGTGGAAAAAATGTATTTTATTACAGAATTTTGTTTTCCACAGGAAACATTCTGGGAAAAGAATATAGCCAGATAGCCACAAGAAGTTCAAAAGTAGGATATAAATTTAATTAAAAAATTAATTGATTTAACTGCCATTCCTATGCGGAAGCAACAATATAATTTAGGAAAGACAGAGGACATATTTCTTGCCCTTATATTTCAGTCAAATGGAAAATTAAGATTTTTATTTTTTTCAGCTGAAGAATATATTTACAATTTGATAAAGCTGATCACAATTTTATTTACTCAGACTAACAACTGTACTAATAGATATAACTGTCTGGATACTAATCTTTTCTTATACAAACAACAGTGAAATTACAAGAAGTACGTATGCTTCATCTTAACCGCCATCAACAGCTATTCTATAAACACATTACATTACACAGAGATAATTAAATTTTGTACTGTATTCACAGATGTGGAGTTTTCAATACCTGCAAGTAAGGTTAGGGTCAGCATTCCTTGATAGAAGCAGTTCGACAGTGTTCAAGATGTTCTCCTCTGAAGCTTGTGCAGTACATGCTGCCATCAACACAGTGTATTTATCTGTTTGGAAATTTGCAGTTAGAGAATTACATATGTAAATGTAAATACCATGCCAATCCAGAAGTTCCTTTTAAAGTCTTCATATTTACTAGAGTTGCTACTGAAATTGTGATACTCTGTGATACTTGGAAAATGCTAGTAATCTTGTTCTCCTGTCTGTGAAAATCACTAAGATGACCAGGTAAGACAAAGGCACCTGAGGAGAAACTCCAAAAGATAAACATCTATTCCTAATGAAGTTTATAATGGCTTGAAAGTACTCCAAAGCAACAATAGGAGCTTAACTATAGATGCTTATTTCTCAAAACACATTCCACACCAGTAGATTCACTCCCTGTTACTCCCCTCTAGTAAATGGATGTAAAGGCTGTGACGGACAGAAAAATGGAATGTATTGTGAATACATAGTGACACTGATTTTGGGGAGAACAGAGGCCCATACAAAAGACACTGGAAGCAAAAGGGCTTCATGATAGGTCTCAAGGAGGAAGAATTAAATTTATTACCTTACTACAGTCCAGTAGTGGCAGGAGAAGTATTAAAAGTATTGGTTTAGATGGGGATTTAAAAAGCATCTACACAGTCCATAAGGAATACCAGCATATTTACTTCTCCAGCTCTGAAACCAGGTGGGTGTTATATACCACCTTAGCTCACAAATCAAAACTGTACAACTGCTGTTTGCCCACAGAACACAACAGACTTCCTTTCCCATGATTACCATGGTTTCCATAGGGGAAACATAACACCTCAAAGATCTTAGTTAGTTGGCCCCAGTGTCATTTAGAAGACTGCCGTTTGAGTAACTGCCCATTTTGTTTATTGCACAAACTTGTTCACAAGTTCCAACATGCCTTCATCCATTTAAAAAGTATATTAGCTGCACCTACTTCACATCTTATCAAGTGTTACAACATATTTTGTCATTTTCTTGTAGAAATTTTAAGACTGTGTATAATTAAAATCTTTATTCTTCAATGAGGTCAGATTTCACCATATTTAAACATGAAGTTTGTTATGGATGCTATGACCACTGCTCTCACCACTTCTTGTCCTTCACTTCTACAGCTTAGCTCTACATTTAAATTCACTTGCTTTTTTAATCTACCATCTTTTTATTTTCAACTGCCAATGTAAAAATTACTTGATATGTTGACAAATTTTTACTCAAGATATTAAACCTGATTATCAACTAGAACATGATTGGAAAGATGGCAGGACTTTAAATAAATCACTGTCAATCTGGGAATGGTATTTGAGAGGAACCTACAGTTGTATTTATATTCATTATCTCAGTCAATGATAAAGACTGGGAAATTAATTTCTGTTAGCCTACCTATAGCTCATACATATGAGCAAGAGACAGAAGGGAAGAAACACCTTGGAATTATTAGATTTCTCTTTTACAGACAATAATTGCTAAAAGATTGCAAAAAAAGATAACTTTATGTTCAGGCTAGATGAAAACTCCAGTAATTCTGGTGAAATTATTCCTCAAGGATGCAACATTTTGAACCTATCACACAGCGAATGATATATTAGTTCTTGTCAACTACCAAAAAGGGTAAAATTAAGTAACTAGTCATAAAGAATGATTGAAGAGTGACTCAAGGTGATTAACAGTATAGCTGTTTATTAGAATTATAAGCGTTAAAGGGTAATTATTATAGGATCACTTGTATGATTGCCTGCTGACGTAAAAAATAGCAGGAGGGCGGTGAGATTTAGTACCCCCTTAGGATAGCACAGCTTTACTGAACATACGTGGTCTGACCCAAATAAATGACTTACAAGACTGCTCCTGGCTTGTAAGGAGCTCTGCTGCCCACATGCCCTAGTTACAGTTTCCCTACACAGTCTAACAGGGAAGCAAACCAAGAAACCTGATCCTAGTGAGGTGCCACTTTGGGCAAAGGCAGCTGATCACACAAATGAAAAAATGCCATGCATTTGGTTACCTGGTCAGCCTAAACTACTGCCCATAGCAGTTTCTGACCCATTTATAGCTTTCTACAGCCATAAACAAGGAGCAGGTATGAGCTGAAGGCAGACACATAGAAGTTCTCTGAAACTGGCTACAAGGACAGTGAATAGAAGAAGTCATGACTGCTTTTGGTGTAGGCAATTTAATCTCATAATCTGATCAAGTGCTAAGAGGTTAGAAAAAATTTTCAGAGCCAGATTTGCACCTGCATTTCAGTCTACTACTACTACTGGAAATACTAGCAAGTTACTGGAAAGTATGATGACTGCTCTTACGTACGTGGCAGTACTGTGGAATAAATATGTGTTGCAGTGCAATGGAAGTGATTGAAAATAACCACAATTTCAGTAGGAAAAAAGTTATTATTAGGCCAATAAAATTGACAGAGGAACTGATACTACTTAGAAGCTACACTGAAATCCTGGAGAAAAAGGTGAACTAGTAACACATTGAAGAACAGTTTTCTTAATAGAAAATAGAAAAATTGCACTCTAGTTTTAGATTAGTCTACATTAGTGTCCCATGAACTGGAAAGCTATTCATGTTATTTGAGATGCTACCTGGATTCCGCATATACATAGTTCACAAGAAGATCAAACACAGCTAGTTTTACCCACACAACTTTATACTACAATTTTTGAGCAAGTACTTTCTGAACACTTTTTAAAAAAATACCTGGGATTTGGGGGGTGTGGGGGAAAATAGAATTGAGAGAGAAAGAACAAGAAAATGCATCAAGCAATTCCAGATCAATTCCAAGAACACAGTTTTATTTTAAAACTACTACTTTTCCTTCAGAACTGTGAATGGTAGAGTGAGTCTTAGTTCCACTGTGAACTTTTGATTTTTTTTTTTTCCCCTACACCTGTAAACAAGAGAATAAGAATAGGGACAATGTCTGGTACTGAGCATTACAGCCAGTATTTTTCATTCCCATCTCACCTATTTCAAAACATGCATTAGCACCTCTGTCCAGAAGAAGACGTACTACTGCAAAGTTAGCTACGCTGGCTGCACACATCAGGGGAGTCCATCCAAACTGAAAGCTAGTTTCTATGCTGATACCTGTCAAAATTAAAGAAATTAAAATCAAGAAACTGCATCACAACAAACATGCTTTTTATAAAACTTATTCTCAATGTGTATCATTACAAAGGTTACACCTGGTTTGCATTTAGTACAAGGGAGAGGAATCTCTTTTGACATTTTCTTTTTTTTTAATACAGCTTCATTTAGAACACCAGAAAACTTTTAAAACTGACATAAATGTAGCCCAGTTCTTAATCCAAGGAGTTAAGTACCACAGAAAGACTACATTAAAAACCTCAAACATTTAGCTGCAAAAGCAATTTTGATAAGCACACAGAATCAGTTTTCTCTACTTCTGTGCAATAGCTTTCTTCCATCAAAATGAAGAAATTTGACTCTTGCCAAGCCAAGAAGACTGCTGTGGAAGTTAACTGCTTGTCAGGCAAATAGGATCACAACATCTAGGGTTTCCTGCTTCACAGCTCCTTTTATTCTCTGTCCTGCAAGACAGTTATCTAGCAGATTTGTGTTCATTACTACCAAAATATTATCGCCATAATAAGAAGAAATAGGAGACTATGCAAGGTTCAAACACAATCACCAGAATTGTTTGTTACTCTTTTAATAGCCACAATGACTAAAATGGCTAGAAAGCATACCTGCCAGATAGCCCAACTGTCCCAAATGCACTGAGAACCAAGTACCAGACTGAGATACTTGTCTGACAACTTTCTAATAAAAACCTTTATGCATTTTTCAATCCTTCAACAAATACTACTTTCCTCTAGAAAAGTCACCCCAGGACAAAAAGTTTCCATCATTTGGTTCCATGTTAGTCCTACAGTGACCATAGATAATTAAAAATACTTCTTTAGGAAAAAACACTTGAAAAAAAAACCCCAAAATTATCCTAAGAAATTTGTGACATTTATTATTAAAAATTATTTTCACACACTAGGCACCCTCCCATTCCTGTTGTTTACTATTACTTCAAATTCCTTGAACTAGCTTAAGAAAGATGAGGTGAGCTCCAGCACTCATTCAAAGATACAAGTGGAACAAACTGTTGAAGGAAAATGGGAGATCTGACTGTAGTTATATCTTTAATCAGCCTAACCTGTCATGAAGTCATAACTTTTAATTCCATTTTTGGACACAGAACACATGAATTATATAGTGTTAAGTATTTTACTCCTAAAGCAAACCAAAATGTCCAAATCATCTTTGAAGGTGCTACTTGCTTGCATTACTTTTTGTGACACGTACTTTGGGAACTTTTTCCTATGTTGCTATTTAACCGAAGTGGTAAGGAAAAACATTGTGCTTGTCCATCTCCTAAAATGTTCTGTAAAACTGCCTCGGCATCAAAAATACTACAGCAACATCTAACCAAGCCAGAAGACAACACAGTCTCACTCTACCTGAAGGAACAGCCCCAACTGTTGCTAGGAAATCCACTTCCGACACAAACCCTGAGTCTGGCTGACTGCTGGTACTGAGCCTCCTACAAGCTCTACCAAACACATACTAAAGGTACTTCTGGAGGCAAAGATTTAATGTGAGCACAGATGCCCTGAAGGACAATGTGACCTTTCTTCAGAAAGGTCATCATAATAGATACTGTGGTCTACTGCTTTGTAGAACAGGACTGGATGGATCAGAATTTACTGTTTTCCATCTTAAGAAAATTATATATTATTTTATAATACTGCCTTATTCCTTTCAGAAGACAGGAAAACTAGACTATATGAATCCTCAGCATGAACCTCTGCTCTTACAGAAACCTACTATCATCTTCCAACAGCACAAAACTGTCCTCTGTGTAGCAGGCATCAGCACAGAAAGTGAACTATTGCTGTTTGACTGCAATACAATAATTTAAAATGGGTGGTGTAGCAAAACAATTAAGCAATCTGATGCACAGACATCTACCCATAAATAAGAATTTCTCAAAGCAAGACAGACGTATTTCATGCTTGTACTGCGCTTCTTGTGTTTCAGTCCATGCAGTAGTTTTGCTTAATTTAAAAAGAAAACCATTCCCTCATTGTGCTGAGAAACAATTGGCTTCTAAAAGGGCATATAATGTCATTGTTTCAAAACTCAGAAAAGCCCATTGCTAACCAAGAAACTACTTTCTTCCCTAAGACAGATTTTCCTCAGAGAACAAGCTCTTGGTTACTATATTCTCCTTGCTTGCTGAAGCAGAACTTCCTGACAATTATCACTAGGCAAGTCAACACAGCTATGCAGTTTCTGATTGCCCTGGATGCTTCAATAAGTGATCCAATCTTCCTAACACTGGTTAACAAACACATTAAAGACAAATACTGAGTAACACAACAGGGGAAAAGGCTTTCAGTGTTAAAACGGACTACTTTTTAGTGAGAAATGCCACAAAAAGCCTGTTAGACCTTTTAGAATCACAAAATCTTTGTTCAGCTGATGTTGCCAGGACAGCAGTATTACACAGGGCACATACCAGACACTTAACAGTGCTGTGAAGGGGAGAAAAAAAAAAAAAAAAAAAAAAAAAAAAAAGAGGAAAAGGAATTTCCAAACCAGATGAACATTAAAATAAAAAAGCTAGCCTCCCCTTTTTACCCCATGCTGTATAACCTTCAACACCAAAGACCACCCACTGAATTCTCCCCTTCAATTTAAACCACCCCTAATTTGTAATTGGTATTTGCATGTTCAAGATGCATCTGAAAACAAAGAAACACCTTATTTCATAGCTGAAACATTATATTTTTCTCTATTTCAAGGGCTCCTGACTGACAAAAGAAACATAAATTAGAAGGAATGTGAATCTGAGTCACTGAAAAAGTAATTTAATCTTTCAAGATGTGTTGAGTGCATGTAGGAACATGTGAATGTTATCAGTAAAGGATATAATGTCTTGTTTTAAATGAGAAAGTTTAGTATTCTTGACGTCAATAAAAAATATTCAACTTTGTAACTGACTTTCCCCACCTGAGTTTAACAGATCTTCAATTAATGACACATCACCACGAAACAGGGCCTTCTTTAATGCCTCATTCTTCTCTGCCTGCAACATTTGATCCAACTGCTAGATAAACAAAGAAAATTAAAATTAAGAAAATAAAAATTAAGTCAAAATCTGGGGAGAATTTCAAGGCAAAAACAATATAGCTTGGTTTTAGTATAAAAGCATTAATAACCTCTGAAAGGACATAGCACAGAAGAAGGTAAAAAGCAAGGTAAAATTTTTGTTCCTCCATCTCTGTAGATCTTTTCAGGGTCTGCTATAAAGCCTAAGTTTTAAAATCATTTTTTCTGAGAAGTTCCATTCTCTGAAAATGGAAATATCTTCTTTCTCAACAGACCTGCTATCCTCCCACGCTGCTCTCAATTTTACGTACCTTGATTTCAATTAAGATTCTTTTTCATCTTATGACACTAGAAAAACTTTGCAATGCATTTATGTACTTTTAACTTTTTTTTTTTTACATTTCACATACTGTGAAGTACAGCTATCAGAGATGAAAGTTTGAGCTTGAGTCAAGAGACTTCAGTGACCATCTGTCTGGCCTAACAGCACAAGTCCACTGCTGTGAACCGTCATCCTAATTCTGTAGTGGCACAGGCATTTGTAGTGCTGCATCATAAATGTTCTGGCTGAAAAAAGCACTGACCAAAGGACTAACTTATGCATCAGACAGTTGCCCAATTTAAGTTGCTTTCAAAAGCATCATAGATTTGTTCTCCATTAAAGATGCAGATGAAGATTGCTTCTGGAGCTGTATCAAGCGTAGAAAACATTTGTATACATTAGGATGCAGAGGACTAATTATTCATAGTTTCCTTAGACAGAAGTATGAAAAAAAGTTGTCTTTTATCATAAGTTTTTAATTCCTAACATTGTAACTTAGACATATACAATTTTTACAGCACACTGTGGCCCATCTTTCCAGTAACTTTTGCAAAAACTAACAGAAGTGTCTAGAGAACCAAAGGGGAGAAAGAAAAATAGAACAATTTGGCCCTATTTTTATTCTACTCAGACAACAATTTTCAAACAATGCACATCTTTGGATAGGAGCATCTATTTAAAGATCAAGGCCTCTTAAACACTGGCTATAACCTTCAGCTTAATATCTCTAAAATTCAGTTGTATTTCCATTTTTCAATTCTAGTCATGAGACAAACCCACAGTTAAAAACCCTTACAGAATCTACTTCACACCGATGGATACTTCACACCTGTTAGATGCAATAAAACTACTGAAATCTTCCAGTTAGCAAGGAACAGTCTCAAGAGATTTAAGATATAAAATAGCTTTACAGGCCCCCGGCCACTTTCAAATTTACTCTCATGCTGAAATATGATTAGGACTAGAGTCCACTACCTAAGGGAAGAGCTTTTAAATAAACATTAAGAGCTCAGAAAGTAAGATAAACTTAGGTAATGAGATAAACGTCTACAATTCAGGATTCGTTTACAGGAGTGAGGGTACACCAGCACGACCCTGGCAGGAAACAGCCTAAGAGGAAGCACCAGCCGCACCCTCCCCTGGCTGCCACCGCGCTCCGCTCCCCCTCACGGCTCCAAGCCGAGGCCGCCCCCCAGCCCGAGACCGCGCGGCCCGAGGTGCAGGGAGGCTCAGCCCCACCAGCGGCTCCTGCCGCACGACGCCAATGTCCCAATCGCCGTCGTCGCTGTCGCTGCCCTCATC